CTACTCAATGACAGACCTTATGATACAGTGCGCACATGCTAACCATTCGGCCATCCAACCCCCCACATGAATAATGAAATATCTGCTTCCCAAACTTTGAATGTGAATACATTTTTAAGAGATCGACAACACTGATGAGAATGATATTATTTTTTTGTATGTAGTCTAACATTAAACAAATTATTGTTCAGCTGCTAAAACGTATGTTTTTATATTGTCTCCCACCGAGACTCAGTGCCGCTGACTATATCTGTATATAAGTCCGAACATAGCGTGGTTCAATTAAGCTTTAAATCTCAACAAAATAGTCAAATACCAGTGCAAATTTTTATGATGTATTTAAATAACATTTAGAAGTAAAAAGGACAATGAATGACATATTTAAATAAAAGTAATCGAGAAAATGAACAATAGTTTAGAGGTTAATTTATTATTTTGTTAATTAGTAAAGTTTACTATGTAAATAAAAGATATGTTTTATTCAAAAACAAACTGTGTAAACTTGTCATCACATTAAGACAGAGAATGTGTGTCTTTTGTATTTTAGAAAAACAGACATCTTCGGAAATTATTTATTAATAAAACTGAGGGGAGATTTGGTTTAAAGTTTGACACACCTTAACTTCTTGGGGTTTTTTCTAAACAATATTTATCACAGAAGCTGGATTTGAGAACAGGTAGAAGCCTATAGACCCCCTCTCCATAAAAGTGCAAACTTAAATATATATTCTTTTGGTTTGTGGTATGATTTTATTTATATGAGTAGTATATACAAAGGTTGAATGATTGAATGTATATAAAAGGTCAAAGAGAAGTATTTTTAACCAACATCAGTGATAATTATCCGAGGTCCTGTCTGTTTTTCATAAAGAAATTAGTCTATATTTATATAATATTATCAGTCGGTTACCAACTCCTAATTTTGTGAATTTTTACTGATTTTGTGTACCATTGCTGATATTTTTTCCTGATTTTCTGTACATTTTCTGAATTTTTTCCTGATTTTGTACATTTGCTGATTTTTTTTTCTCGATTTCAACAGAAAAGACTGTCTATATATGTTCCAGAATTTCAACTTTTGTTATGATAAATAGTGCATGATACATGTATATATTTAATTGTTTAGTCGTATATATCAGTACATTTCTTTTTATTAGAATTATTTATGCTAAGTAAATATATGAAGAAATAAATAAAAGAAGATAAGGTAGTTTACCAACAGGTTAAGATAAATAATGTTAAATTTTATTATAATTGTATGTTAAAATTATTTTATTTTTTAATCAAATAACAATAAAAATACATCTTATTTCACAATTTTTGGGGTAATTATAAGCGCTCGTATGGAGCGAAACCAGTAATACTTCATGTCGTTACAGCAAAATCCAATCTGATTAAAACACAGATCCTATTTCGCTTTGTTTTTTATAGTTCAAAATTTTGTTTTATTTGTCTGTACTACACTAGGATCCGGAAGAGTTGTTATATAACCTGCGTTCTGGATGGCGTGAGGGATTAGCCAATGAAACGGGGACTTCTTGGCGTGTGATGCAAGGAACTGTGGGTAAAACACTAGAAACATCAACGCTGATTGGTTAATTAATCTCTGACATCATAGGGTCAAAAGCCGCTCGTACGACCCCTGATGTTACCTTCCAGTACAACTTGTCAGATCTTCATGTAGTGTAGGCCATCGAAAGTATAAAAAAAAAAACGAAACGAAATATAGATTTGTATGTGAATCAGATTGAGCATAATCCGAATCGGTCCCACCCATGTGACTTACCTATGAAATCTACCGTGGATCAGAAGCTGAACTTGAAGAAGGCCAAGGGAAAGTGAAATGAAATGAAATGGGGTTTAACATCCTACTATTCTGCTCCAACTGGGCTAATGTCTACAAGGTAAAGTGACCCCCCCTCTTGTTGCAAACTAGTCTCCACACCAACAAGGCTGCATATATTATTTTCCAATTTCCAACACAGAATCCAACCTCGTGGCTTTTCTCTGGGTCCTCCCGTTTCCTCGCACTGCTAAAGACCCCTACGTGTAAGCGAATTATTGAAATAAAATTGAACCATATGTAAGTCCCAAAATGACCTAGTTTGTGTCAAGTGAACAGAGAGAGAGAGAAATGGGGTTTAACGTCCACTTGACACAAACTAGGTCATTTTGGGACTAACATGGTTCAATTTTAATGTATGATTAAAAAAAGACATGAACATTAAAGAACTTTTTTATTTGAACTCCTGTTACATCTAACAATAACACAATTAAAAAATAAAAATGTTACCATATAAACTGGATTTAACAATTAAAATGACACATAAATTCTTTCTGTGCTAAGGCATTATGTCAAAAAAGCAAACAAATGGTAAACATCTATTTGTGTTGGTGAAATTTTTCAAATTCTAATTTCAACTAAATTCTTCCATTTGGTTTGATTTCATTTCCTCTTACAGACCAAACTCATCTCTAAGACTAGTTCAGCTCTAAACGTAGGTATCATCACAATCACAATATAGTGAGACCTTAGTTTCACAGCTGAACTAATCTTAGACGTGCTCTTTGTAATCTTAAATACAGAAAGAATTTATTGTACAGGATTTAAAACCATTAAAATATATAAACATAAATAAATTTATATCGATAAATAAATAAACAAATAAATTAACTATATATAATCATATCACAGTTTGGTGGTTTTACTAAAAAAAAAAAAAAAAAATAATTGCAGGGTATTTTAAGAGGTTGAGATAAAGTGACGCATTTATTTAAAGATTGCACTCATGGCGTCTCTAGCGGAATCATAACTAGCGAGAGAGACGACAGAAATGCCATGGGGTTTAACGTCCACTCTACACAAATTAGGTCATTTTGGGACTAACATATGGTTCTATTTTATTTCAATAATTCGCTTGCGCGTAGGGGTCTTTAGCAGTGGAGAAAACCAGAGGACCTAGAGAAAACCCACGAGGTTGGACAGGCGACCCAACTCCTTGTCACGTACAACCGGGGAATGGAAACCACGGAAGTTGACTCAATGACAGACCGCATGATACAGCGCACACACGCTAACCATTCGGCCATCCGCCCCCCCCCCCCCCAACATAACTAGCAATTGTCATTTGGGTTCTTTAGTGAAGGGTACCGTGGTGGGGGTTTTTTTTCAAAAATTAAACTCAGCTGTATTCATCTTTAGTTGGAATATAAAAACAAATGGGGAACCTTCGTTAAAGATACATTATGGGAGATTTGGTAACGAGTTGGCAGTTCTCGCTATAACAGTTAAAAACTAGATAAGGTAGAAGGCAATTTAGTGGAAATTTCATTCAAATTGATCCACTATGAACCGAGAACTAAGCGACTGAAATTCCCATAAGCCTCGGTCATCATTACTAAAGTCAGTACGATAAACAGCATAGTCTCGATTATCCATTTAATCGTTTAATGAGAGTTGATTATGGCCTGGATAGGTTAATTAATGTCTAATTAATAATTTAGATAACATTTCAGGCCTAAAGAAAGACCTGAAATAGGCAGATTTAGCTCTTGCATAATGTATGTTTAAATAAGGTTTTCTGATTTATTTCCTCGTTATTTCATAGTTTATGGTGGCTTTAATCCGAATTATTGTTTGATTTGGTTTCGCTCTAGCCCCTTTATCGAACATCATCCATTATTTCCATATTCGCGAAAAAACATTGCGCGACATAAGTTATTAAAAATCCTGATTGCGATTTGTTTTCGACACAGGCTGGATTCTCAGTTTTAAATGAACTGATGCAGTATCATTTATTTTGCAATTTATTTTCTATTAATTTTGTAGGGTAGGATATACAACCTTTATACATGTATAAACCCTTTAAAATTTTGAAAGGTATATTTTTTAAAGATGGTAACGTTATCTCAACCTACCTCAATAATAATTTGACCAGTCACGCCCTTTTTATAGGGAGCTTGTCATTGTCACAGCACATTTACATAGAATTCTTCAATAACAGAAATCTTCTACTAACATTTAGTGGTTTTCAGAAAAGGTGGCACGGAACATTCTGGCGCCTCATACAAGATATTTTCAGACATTCGCTATCTAGCCAAAATGATGAATAAATATAGGTAAATAAATGCATAAAGGACGTAGATTTAAAAAAAATACGATCTGACACAGTACTACTAACAATTAAAAATAATAGTTTAAGACACGTTGACCTTTTTATATATTAAAACAATGTGTGGGTGGGGTTATTTTTTTACAATTTGTGTACCCACCAACACCAACCCTTGACGTTAACAATCAACAATAATATATTTGTCATATTGGCTGGTTTTGAAATTTTTCGGGTGAATACCGATAAATCAAGGACGGTAATTCCACATGAAAAGAATATTTAAAAAAATTATGGACAAAATTTCTATCAAAAAAATTTTTTATGAAAAATTATGGACGGTATTTCTATCAAAAAGAACTTTAAGCAACATACATAAATATCATAATGTATATCCACAATCCAAACATTATAATAATATTAATATTTTTCGATATAGATCATTCAGCAGTAGATGATCAAAGGGGCACAAACACTCCAGTCAAACGTATAAATTTATAATAATTTGTCCAAGAAAATTCAGCAGTCCTCGAGTTCTGTAGACGACACCGCAACGTAACGTTAGCTACTGCATGCCGTCACAAATCAAAGTTTAGTAACGTAATCTATCAATACAAGCGTCAGAATGTCCTATCTCGGCTGGCGAATACAAACATGAACGCAAGCCTGGTATTGCCCCCCCCCCCCCCCCAATATTTTAAGGCTCCTAGTCCCAATCGACAAATAGTTTTAATTTAATATTTAAATCATATCACTTCTAAACGTAAATATTTGTATTTTTTTTATAAATTTTCACCACCAGAATATGGGTTGGTGTTTATATATATACTGCCATCGCATAGTCCCCCCCCCCCCTCTCCCTCACCCCCACCCCCCACCCCCTTCCAAAACAAAAGAAGTGTTTAACTCTCTTCATGTTTGAGCCCCTTTCAAAACATTTGTGAAAATCGACCAGTTATCGTTCCTACACTTCACCAATGATATGCCTACATCAAAGTTTCATGATTTTCAATCGTCGTAATAATTTCAACGATAAATGGTCGATTTCAATTATCTATAAATTAAGCCTAACTAACAATAAATTCACAATTAAAAACAAAATTCATTCTCTCATTCCTCGCTTTCTATTGAGAACGCGGTCGACAAGTGAACAGTTATTTATTCATCCCGTCATAATATCATGTCCGTGTGCTTCTTCGCGTTCACATTAGACGACTCTCTAACATTTAAACTCTAGGCGGTCAAATTTACGAAAAACACGCGTCCATTAAAATGTATGGTAACTTTCAAAAGATGGTAAGCCATGGTAACCATGGTGGAGTTCAGAATCTCAGAAAATGAAATTGGATATTCAAATTCGACCTTAAATTCGTCTAGGTTTAGATAATTACAAATGGTTTGGAATTTTAAAAATAATCATTCCGATTGTTATTTTTCTTGAACATGTAAACTAGGTACCGATGTTTGCTTGGTATCTAAATGTAAACCAATGGTAACCAATGGTATCCAGTGGTAATCAATGGTATCCAATGGTAATCATTGGTAACCAATGGTAATCAGTGGTATCGTAATCATTGGTATCCAATGGTAATCAGTGGTATCCAGTGGTAAAAAGGTAATCAGTTTTAACCAATGGTACCAAATGGTAACCAATCACAACGATCTCAAGTGCTTGAAGTTTTTAATAAATATGGCCGCCGTATCCTACAAGTGTAATACTGTGAATTAGAATATTTAAATATTGGTTTCTTTAAAAACAAAAACAATTTACATCTTCTCTTCATAAATTTTAAATTAAGATATTATGATATATTCGTATCGAGGCAACAGTTGGTGTAAGTCTGTAGATTTTCTGTTATCATTTACCAGGAACAATTCCACCGTCAATCGTCAAGGCAAACGTCATCCCTTCATCCCGGCTACTTCCGGCAGTCGTCTTTATCCTGGCTTTGTGTCCATTTAGAGCGAAATCAATGATGGCGCCATCATCACAAAATTCGTTCTGAAACAAAAAACACGCGCATTTAAACACCCACTTCCGCTATTCCCAAACGTTGACATCCTCCCTACACAATACAGATCAGACTATTACAGGACTAACATATAATATATCTTAATTCACGTAGGGTCTTATTCTTAAGCAGTGGGAGGAAAACGACGGATCCGGAGAAATACTACGAGGTTAAACTCGCGACCTTACTCGAAACCACACCACATGACTTTGTGAGAGGCCACTCGTGCACCCGCCCCACCCCCTTGACTAGGACCATGCAGTGTTCCTGTAGGTGGTGTGGTGTGGTGTGGTGGGAGGGCGAGCTTTCGAGAACTTTTGGTCTTCATTGCACAGTTAAATTGTTAAGTTCCTTCTTGTCTCGTGATTCCGATTAATCATCTATTGAAGGGTGGGGTGGGGGTGGCCGAATGGTGTGCATGTGCCCGCTGTATCATAAGGTCTGTCATTGAGTCAACTGGTGTGGTTTTGATTCCCTGGTTGTACGTGTAAAGGATTAGGGTCGCCTGTCCAATCTCGTGAGTTTTCTCCGGGTCCTCCGGTTTCCTCCCACTACTGAAGACCCCTACGCGCAAGCGAATTATTAAAATAACATTGAACAATGCGTAAGTCCCAAAATGACCTAGTTTGTGTCGAGTGGACATTAAGCCCCATTTCTCCCCCTCCCCTCTCTCTCTCTCTCTCTCTCTCTCACTCGTCTATTGAATTTGATAAACCAATGAAAACAATCCACCATAATTACGTCAGATGTAGTAATATTTAATGCTCATTACCGTTGCTTTAGGAAAATGACACCCGGGAAGACTTAAGACAGTCTGTCAGAGTAATATTTATAACCAGTAACAGAATTTGAGTATTCAGTCTATATCACCTGATTGACCACCACCTCACCAGCTTTTCGGAATGGCATCTAGTTTTCAAATAAACCCTCACAGTTCATTGGAACGAACGATTTTTTAGATGAAGACCAGGCCCTGGTTTCTCAAAACATTCTCAGACTTAAGTTAAGAATTTACACAACTTTCAATCACTGTTTATGAGAAATATCTTTGATCCAAAAACACAAAACTTTGCACATATGTTTCTTATTGGTGTATTTGATACATTAAAACAAAACAAAAAATTTAACGGGCTATTTTAGATAAAATAAGGTGAACAATTTTGAGTAAATTCTTAAAATACATCTGAAAAAGAGATCAATTGTGTGTCGTTCAGAGAGAGAGAGAGAGAGAGAGGGGAGAGGAGGGAGAGAGAGAGAGGGGGAGAGAGAGAGAGAGGAGAGAGAGAGGGGGAGAGAGAGAGAGAGAGAGAGAGGAGGGAGAGAGAGAGAGAGGGGAGAGAGAGAGAGGGGAGAGAGAAGAGAGAGAGAGAGAGGGGAGAGAGATAGATAAGAGAGAGAGAGGGGAGGGAGAGAGGGGTGGAAGGAGAGAGAGAGAGGGGAGAGAGATAGATAAGAGAGAGAGAGGGGAGGGAGAGAGGGGTGGAAGGAGAGAGAGAGAGGGGAGAGAGATAGATAAGAGAGAGAGAGGGGAGGGAGAGAGGGGTGGAAGGAGAGAGAGAGAGGGGAGAGAGAAGAGAGAGAGAGAGAGAGAGGTCCACTTGAGACAAACCAGGTTATTTCGGGACTAACATATGGTTTAATTTTATTACAATAATTCGCTTGCGCGTTGGGGTCCTTAGCAGTGGGAGGAAACCGGAGGACCAGGAGAAAACCTACGAGGTTGGACAGGAGACTCTACTCCTTGTCACGTACAACCGTGGAATCGAAACCATGCCAGTTGACTCAATGACAAAACTTTCGGCCATCCAACACCCACTTCACCTTGTTCCTAGAGCACATTCAGAGCATTGGTTAATACTTTAATACTTACTAAGGTTTCGATCTCTTCGCCATTACAATACACATTAAGTGAATCTCGGTCTGAAAAATACAATTATTAAAATAAGATTGACTACCTAAAGAATAACTGACGACTACAAGTCGTAAACATATTTCACACAACCTTTCTAGGCCTGGATACTAACTGAAATCAAATAAAATAGGGTTTAACGTCCAACTGGGCCAGTGGTTCTCAACCTTTTTTTGCCAACGATACACCTTGGAACACATGAAAAAATAGCGGCACACCTGGCTAAATATATATGAAAAATATTTGAATTTTGCAAAATAAAAACATTGTAAGTCAGACGGAATACAACCGTAAACAGAGACTAGTCATAGACACATAGAATGACTCAAACTAAATCAGTCAGTGAATTCTCAATTGGGATCACGTGGTTTTTTACATTTTCTTAGTGTTCCTTTCAAAATTTCGTGGCACACATAGAAAGATCTCGCGGGACACTGGTTCAGAATCACTGGACTGGGCTACTCTTATATCGAATTCCAACTGCCAAGGGATATTTTACGTACATGCAAATGTATACACGGGACCTTGATTTTTCGTCCCATCCTAACGACTAGACAGCAGCTGTCCTTGTCGCCAGGCCCTCCGCCCTGCTGAATACTAACTAAACTCTGCTCTAAATGACGATTCTTCACCTCAATACCTCCGTTTTTTGTTTATGTCTTTTTTTATGGATTAATGTGTTGTGAATGTTGTAATTTTATATTAGTTGTATTTATGTAAAGCGCCCGAGATCAGCTCGCTGAGTTGAATAGTTGGCGCTATATAAATCAATTATTATTATCTATCTCTCTCTCTCTCTCTCTCTCTCTCTCTCTCCCTCTCTCTGGATGTATCAGTGCTATTGCAAGATAAAGATAAGAGAATACATAATTGTAATAATTATTTATTTAATAATTAATAATATGAAGTTAGAGTTGATGAGCCGATGTGGTAGATAACACCGTCGTTACTGAGTCAATATTTCAATTGATTTTTTTATACAATAGTAAACGTTATGAATGATGACTGGTACAAGAAAATGTCATAATGCGTCTAGATCGTATATGTGCTAAACATTCGGTGTTGAGTTGTTTTGTTAGACGATAAATTGAGAGAAGGGGAGAGAGAGAGGGAAAGAGAGAGGGGGTGGGGGGGGGGGCGGGGTAACGTCCACTCAACACAAACTAGGTATTTCGGGACTAACTAATGGTTCAATTTTATTCCAATAATTCGCTTGCGCGTAGGGGTCTTTAGTAGTGGGAGGAAACCGGACGACTCGGAGAAAACCCACGAGGTCGGACAGGCGACCTTACTCCGTGTCACGTACAACCGGGGAACCACACCAGTTGACTCAGTGACAGACCTTATGATACAACGCGCACCCCCCACCCCCCCACGATAAATTATTTTAAGTCTTTAGATCAATCTAATCTAATCTATATTTGTTCAACTGTTGACAAAGTCAGCTAGGTCAAAAAAACGGAAATTAAAATAAGTAAACCAACAGTATCAACAGAACAGGCAGCGGCAATATGGCTTACTCTTATATCGAATTCTAACTGCCGGGGGATCTTTAACGTGCATGCTAATACACGGGACCTTAGTTTTTCGTCCCACCCGAACGACTAGACAGCTGTCCTTATCAGACACTCCGTCCTGCACCACTGACAAGGGAAAACCACGCCAGAAATCAGCATGAACTTTCTCGGCCAATGCAAGGATCGAACACGCGACCTCCGGGCTAGCGAGCCAGCGTCTTACCCACTTAGCCAGCTTGGCTCCCTCTGATATAGAGAGTGCCGTAACTAACTCAGAGCAACGAGGGGGCTGGAAGTGTTCTCGGGAGTGCTTTAAAATTGACGGACAATGTACAACGTGTCAGAAAGGCCCATACATATCGGACCTAGATTGTTCCCCTTTCGAAATAAAGATATTATTATTATTATTATTTACGGTCGACAATTTTTTCACTGGGGAAGGGGGGGGGGGCGAAGCTAAGCCCCACCCCACCCCTTGTTAAGGCCTGGGTATTGATATAGATATTGTTATTATAACAATCGGTTACGTTGTAAATGTTCATATTTAAACCTACAATTATGTTATTAAAACTTCAAACACAAGTGTGTCATTGGTTATTTTTAGCAGGGCGTATCTTATTACACATTAATATGAATCGATCTTGATGACCTAGTAGTTCTCGACTTATTTAGATTTTAATAGATGGAGGAGATCAATTATTTGACGTCATCAAAGGTATCTCATTTCAGCCTCGTGTAACCAGGTCGTATCGGCCTAGAAATAAAGACATTCTGACGTTGGTCTCAGTGACGTCATTGTCTTCAGACTGGTTCAATAATCCTGTTCGTCTAATGGATATATTGGATGATTTCATCGACTTAAAGTATATTATAGAAAACTCTACGGCTATATATCCCAAGTTATTAATTATCCTTCAAAGAAGCGTTATTAAGCAGGGCCAGTAAGCTAATGGCTATTTTTATTTTCACTATAGTTTGTATGTGTTAGCTGTGGTTGCGTTTTACCAAATGTATCATTAAAGTGACCAAACCAAATCTGATTTAACACTACGGCACGGAGTTCTTTAAAGGACCAATCCCGATAATACTTTGGATAATAAAGCTGGTTAATTCTGTGTTAAAATCCCTTAAAATCCTCTACCTTAGGGCCGAGCAACTAACTCAGTATATTTGATACGTTTTCAAACAACTTAAATCTGTCAGTCTTAATCTGGAAGTGGGGACCGGTGCCCCAAGCTGTATTATGCGGTGTCTCGATAAAACCAGACTTTTATTTTATAAAAATAATGTGTAGGTGATATTTACCTTTCGTTATCAAATTCAGCACATGGGTCATTCACTGTATAAACCTCTGAAGGAAGGGGAGTCGATTATCAGGTCACCCAACGAAAGAATTGACCCAAAATCTTAAAAGGGTTACGTGTCCGGATAAGCAGTTTTGACGTTTACGTCCAAGTGACTCAATATTTTGAGCTGAAATTTTGAGGCAGGGTAAATACACCATTCCTCTATATTTTGGCGCTTAAATTTCGTACGTACCCGGACATTTATTTTTGAGACTCTGTTCAAATCGGGATAGTCCCTTTAAACCCCTTAACAGTGGATTAATGTAATACTATTGGGGTTATTTTAGTTCTAGGAAAGGTGCTCTGTTTAATATACAATGTATTGAAGTGATTAAACAAAATGGGTGACAAACGATAAATAGGCTTAGTAGTTATTTTGCAAGATTCAAGTTCCTTAGACTAACTCACAGACATTTTCTGCTACTATCAATTGCTGAAAGTAAGGTACTATCATCCAGTCATCTCATGCGCACATTACTCCAATTAAATAGAATAATGTTGACGTAAAACGGTGCCCATAAGAAACACTGTCCGTCCTAATAGCTGACATGTCTATACTTTCTATATATAAGAAATAGCGAGGTTAAATTTCCCCTCAAACATCATTCGGAGTTTTAAGGGGAACATCATACCCACAGCCTCCTCGACTTAAAGCCTAGGGTAAAGACATCATTTAGAGATCCTAGGGGAACATCATACCCACAGCCTCCCCCTCGACTTACATACAGGTCGAGGGAGTCATCTTGTAGACTTGGAAAAAAGAGCATAACGCCGCAAACCTAGCCCCAATGCTTACCCTAACCTACAATCTCGCCAACAATCACGTGCCCTAACCTTATTTACATCTCAACGACCTTGACAAAAGGGATCACGTGGCTAAGTTGGTAAGACGCTGGCTCGCTAGCCTGGAGGTGTTCGATCCCTGCATTGGCAGAGAAAGTTCATCCAGATTTTCCGGCCTGGTTTCCCCTTGTCAATGATGCAGGACGGAGGGCCTGACAAGGACAGCTGTCTAGTCGTTCGGATGGGACGAAAAACCGCGGTCCCGTTTACACATTGGCGTGCACGTAAAATATCCCTTGGCAGTTGGAATTCGATATAAGAGTAGGCCGTAGCGCCGCTGCCCATGCAAGATTCCCCTCATAGGACACTGTATGGCGTATGCCCGTCTTCATTAGTCCAGTCGGAGCAGAACAGTAGGACGTTAAACCCCATTTCATTTCTTTACCTTGACAAAAATTGAGCTGACCTTAACAAATAGATTTATCCAGAAATAATAACACACGTATTAACGTAGACATGTTCGGTATTTTTTTTAAAATTATACAATAGCGGAAATAAATTCCAAAGCGGATATTATAGGAAAGTTGAATTGAAAGATAAATCCCTGGGATTAAATAAGTCTATTCATTATACGATATCAATATAAATAATCTACAGAAATAAATAAGAGAAAATTATTTGACGTTCGATCTGAATTTAGTCGGGGGGGGGGGGGGGGGTAAAGACGCCCTCCACAGTTTGAATTGTATATGGGGCTGTTTTCACTCATGAATTTACGTCGTTGTTATGCACAAGCTAGAAATATCAGGATATACTCTAGAAAGCTCTATTTTCTCGAGACCGGAGAGACCCCACACCTCCACCCTTAGTCCGTCCCCGGTGTTGCCTTGACCAATCGTAGAGTGTCTAACGTATAGACAGTCATAAGTTAGACACACGCCCGTAATTGATATTTGAATATAATTTCGGCTTGTTTGTATCAAATTACTGCAATTAATATTTTATGGAAATAAATCATAGTACGCTATCACGTGACGTTGGTCATTTCCAAACGGTTCATTATTTTTGGTTAAATAGGCCACTTCTTTACAGTTTATTGCAGTGGTCCTCAACGGCACACCTAGGAACACCTGACAAAATAGCGGCGCACCTGGCTAAATATATATGAAAAATATTTGTTTAGCAAAATAAAAACATGGCAAGTCATAGACGAAATACAACCGTAGACCGAGACTAGTCATAGACACATAGAATGACTCAAACTAAATATAGAAAAACACAGCTATGAACTTACTTTATTTCAGTGTTTCGAATTTTATCAGTCAAATAGCTGGCTTCTTTATTTGAGGGGTCACGTGAAAACTG